TTTTATCACCAGATAAACCTATTTTGGCAGGCATGCCTATTTTGATAACTTTTTTTAGTTCAATGTATACATGCTATTTTGTGTATATTTCAGGCTCTATGGTCTGCAGACTTTCACTTTCTCAGCACAGCTATTCCATATTCACATGGTTCTAAGAGAAATGCAACCAAAAACCCCAGAATAAAAATGAAGCCAAGAATTTGGGTGAAAAAGATTATCGAAGCGGAGAATGAGAAAAAGATGAAGCGGAATCCACCATTACAAATGTCAGATCCTGTTGAGACATTGCCCCTGATAGCAAGAATGAAATTAGAGAAATCCCAAGAATCCTATGCAAGTTATATGCCAGATGTTATATTGGAGGATGGAAGATTCAAAGGTCTTAAAGGAGAGAAGGGTATTGCAGATGTATGTATGCATCCAATCTACAGATGTGTAGATTTAGAGGAACCAAAGTTTTAGAAATGTCTTTACTGTGGCCATCATCATGGTACCGGTATCCAATACCTGTTACTGTCCAAGCATACTTTTTGTTTTTCTTGAAACTACAGAGTGTCTTTGGTTTGGAAAAAATGCAAGTTCTAGTCAAAAATCAGTTTGAATAATTTTTCAAAAGTCATTTTGGCAACATTGCCCCATAAGTGTATGACTGAAACAAGGAAGCCTTTTTCTTTTTGACATTTTTACTTATTTTAGATTGTACAAGATTCTGTAGTGTTTGCACTATTGTAGTGCACCTTTTCATCAGAGTAAATTAGCTTAATGCTCAATTACATTGGCATATGAATTCAGCATGCTGTGTTAAAAATGAAGTGAATCATTTGACTGTCAAAAAATTTTGCAATTAAAATTCAAGACTTATTTATTTTGGTCCATAATTGGTAGTGAATTTTAGTTTGGGCCAAATAATAAATAAATAATTAAACTGGAAAATGCATTAGGCTATACTGTTTTATATTTTAAAAGAAATGAAATGGTTAAATGCACATTGGACATTACTAGTAATGGAAAAGTATCAAAATGCAGTCCAAGTGGAGTTTCAGTGGAGTATTTTATCAATGGTTGATGCGCATATTTCATGCCTTGCAACTTGTGACTAAAGTGTAGCAGAATCAAAGTTTTAATAACATTTTGTCTTTTCAGGATGATAATGAACAACAGATAGATCCTGAAGTAAAAAAAATCAAATTAGAATACCAGCGAGAAGAGCTGAGAGAACTTAAAAAAGAGATTAGAGAGTTGGAACAAGCTCCAGAAATAATGCAAGAAGAAGATTATACAGAATCAATACAGATTGATGACTCAGTTTACCCTAAAAGATCAAACAAAAGCAAATTATATGGAGGACCAGATCCAGAAGAACCCATCAGTGATGTGCCTTGCACAGGGTGTGGTGCACTTCTGCACTGTCAGGACCCTGGGGTTCCAGGCTACATGCCCAGTCAGAGATATAAACAGTTGAAACCAGAAGAAAGGAAAGCTGCCCACTGTCAGCGCTGTCATATGATGACACACTTTAATTTGGCTTTGAATGTCCAAGTTTCCCCCAAAGAATATCCACAGATCATCTCAGAACTCAAAACTCAGAAAACATCTCTGGTGATATTATTGGTAGATTTATTAGACCTCTCCAATAGCTTTATTGATAATTTATGGGATCACATTGGCAATCAACATGAGTTGATTGTACTGGGCAATAAAGTTGACTTATTGCCACGGGACTATTTTGGGTGGTTCGAGAGAATTGAGGCATCACTTAAGCGCCATATTAGAAAAGCTGGACTTAGTGAGGGAACCATTCTTCATACAAGGCTGATAAGTGCAAAGACAGGTTATGGTGTGGAAGGACTGGTCAGCTTGATCATGAACAAATGGGGAACTGATGGTAAGAATACAAAATCTCATATCATTTCACTAGGGCATTTTTTTTTTTTTTTTGTTTTGTTTTTTTGTTTTCTGTCTGTTGTCATCAGTAACCCAGGCCAGGGAGGAGGGTGGCTGATCTGGGGAAGATTGGGTATACTTTCCCAAAAAGAAAAAAAGCATGAAAAGAGGTATCAATTTAGGGCAAGCACGTTTGCACATTTTCATAAAAAAAGTAAAATGTTTTAGGTTTTACCTTCAGGATAGTGAGCAGTTTGCTCTTTGATAAGTAATATAATACAGATGTTGTGGTTTGAATGTCAAAAGATATCAAAGTCAAATTGCACTAAATATGTTTTTGGGTTTGTCATTATTTTTCCAGAAATTTTGCCAGCAGGAAGCTGTACAAAATCAATATAGGCAGAGGAGACAAAAATTAACAATCAATCCCACTCCTCCATCCCATTAAACCCAGACTGAAAAACAGTATTTGAAAGCAGTTGATTAGTATAATTGTATTTCAGACTAACAAGTAGATCAATCATGGGAAATAGTCTCTAGATTGGAATTGTGCATGGGTAAAATTTTCAGGATTATACCTGAATTTAGGATTTGCAGTCTTCATTTTACTTGTTTTTTGTTTTTTTTTTTTCATATGATCTAAATGTGATGAGTGATGGCAAGCTTTATGTTTTCATTATTTACAACTTTCACCCATGTTTGTGTCATTTCCTGCCCTTTTCTAATCAGAAGTTGTATCTTACAGGTAATGTGTATCTGGTAGGGTGTACCAATGTTGGCAAATCTACATTGTTTAACAGTCTGTTATCATCAGACATGTGCCAAACCAAGGCAAGGAATCTGATTCACAGGGCAACCACTTCCAAATGGCCAGGTAAACTAACACTGCCAGGTCTGACTTTAAATGTGACTTTGGTCTTTAAGACCTAAGAAGCACAATCCTAGACCTTGCATATGATAACTGTATGTAACCAGTTAAACTGTTAGCAAGCTGATTGTGCATCATATCCAACCAGAGTTTCAAATTCAATTGAATTCACACTGTATTTCCATTACTTTTTATTCAACTTTGCAGTGGTAGTATATGATTTTTTAGGCACAACAATAGGCACTCTAAAGTTCCCCATGGCACGAATCACACCATGGAGACTGCAATTGAGAAGTGAAAGAATCAGGAGACAGGAGGAAAGGCTAAAGGAAGAAGAGGAACTGAGGAAAGAAATGTGGAGAAAGTATGGAAAACGGAAAAACCTTACTTTGACAGGTAATGATTTTGAAAAGAAAAGACAGGCCTGCCTAACTAGTGCAGAGGCTTATGGGCACTACCAATGTTCCACACTGTCACATCTAACAAATTCCTGTACAACCTATTGATATTCCACACAACAAATACCAAAATATTTTGTTTCTGCTTATACTTACACATTTCTGGTCTTTACATACCATCCGCCTTTTTTGTGTCTTATTTTATCGATATATTTTCAATCTTCCATCTTACCATCTTCCTTTCAATGTCATTTGAACCCTAAACTCCATGAACTCCATATAGTAATCCCTTAATTATTTAGTGATTGTTGAATACATTTGGATGATAAACAGCTATAAAAAATCAAATATATTTTGCAAGCAAAAACTATATGCAATAGAATGTAGGAAGGTAGGTAGAGTAGAAAAACTGCGAAGTTGTGAGGAAACTGTTAAAACTAGTAAAAGTGAAGGTAATTGAGATTGAGACATGAGAATAAAGATTAGGATTATCTCTGGCTCCATAGAAATAGGGGAAAAGACTAATCATTTTAACAGATTTGTAACAGTTTTGATTTGAATCTGTTGATTTCATAACCTATTTCAGTGTGTTACTCCTCTTCTTTCCATAAGAGATATATTTAATATATCATGGTATATTGTACTTTTACTCGCCAGGTTTCATTGGTCAAACCTTCACTACTGAAAAGCCTGTTGAAGATGACCAAGAAATCGAGCCATTCGATTGTCCACAGTATGTGTTTAGTAAGAAATCAGGCCTTGAAGAAACACAAAGTGGCAGAAAGGTATATAGAATTAACAATATTTTTAACTTTTTTTATGATGTGAATTTAGTTGATAGAGTTGATAGGCTTTAAAACTTAAGAAAAAATGCTCTGCAGTATTGATTTATTTGCGTTTAAAAAAAATAAGATAAGGTCATTGTGAAGTTGAATACAACTCTGATGCACTACAAGTTTATGGTTGCACATAAGAAAGCTTCCTCTTCAGTGGTTGCCATCAATGTATTTCACGATAAACCTGTTTCTTTACATTCCCAGTCTCTAGAAGAGAAGAAGGCACCTAAATATTTTGATGAAAATCACTACCAGAATAGTAGATGGTGCATTGACACACCAGGACTTGTCAACCAAAACCAGGTATGTGACTGAAGTAACACATGTTGTATGCCAAAATAGAAATGACTGGCAATTAACAAATATGAAAAGCAGGAAATCTCCAGTTTATTTCAAAACATTTACATTAAATAAGCGATTGAGTGAGAAATAACTGGTATGAAGTAACTTAGTGACATGTGAGGGGGTGGCTGGTATGAGAGTGATTTTAATTTTACGCTTGCGAAATTTATGCAGGCAAATATCCAGTGACTTACTTAAAAGATTGTCATCAAAATTATACTTAATATACAGTGATTATATCTTTCTAATTTGTGTTTTGAACTTTAAATAATCATTTTGGTATCCTTTCCAAAAATGATTTGGAATGACCCTTCATTTTATTTAGCAGTTCTCAGTAGAATACATATCAAAGACGTACCTATTTTGCTCTATGATAATAAACAATTGAGAATTTCAGATATACTTTGATATTATAGCAGTGTAAAATGAACATTTTTCTCTGTGAGAGCTGATTAAAAGTATGAATAAATTGTTGCATTAGTTTTGTTTATTGCAAGTACATTGTATATAAATTATTTTAATAATACTGATGATGTTCTTGTTGTTATTTACTTCAGGTATTTAATATCACAATAAATTTTAAATGTATTCCACTTGCAGATCATCAACTTATTATCACCTGCAGAACTGTTGGAGCTGTTGCCCAAGAATATGATAATCCCTCGCACCTTTGTTGTGAAGCCGAGATACAGCCTGTGGCTGACTGGTCTGGGGAGGATAGATTATCTGGAGGTGATAAGGATACGGTGTCTTTTAACATGGCGCATTCTCAATGTTTTTTTTTTCTCGAACTGTTTATGTTAACTTGTCTAAATACTGCTCTTGTCACATAATACATTGTTTTTATATACAGACACTGTGTGTGTGTGTGTGTGTGTGTGTGTGTGTGTTTTGATCACTGTGCCTCTATGTCATGGCTGTCCCGTTTGCCCTCTGACATATCTGGTTTTTAGCCTTAAGTTGCTAAACCACATTTTTGTCTTACTTTAAATTTAATGTTTGGTTTTGTCTGGTAAAAGGGCAGGGTTCCTTTTAGTAATCAGAATGATCAGATTATCTTAAATTTAAAAATTATTGTTTACTGCATTATGTCTGTTTATGTTAAAATGAAATGATACGAATAACTTAGTTCTGTAAGTTGTCTATATTTGCCAGCTTTNTTAACTCATTCAAATGCAGTGTTTTATACAACTTGGGATAACCATAATGAAATGCTTGTTAAAGAAATGACTAGACGGGAAATGGTTTTACACAGCTTCACGAGGATTTAGACCCCTCGGGTAAGAGATTTGAATGAGTATAAACTTTTATCAGAAGCCAGAGAAGTCATCTTACAGGTAGACAATGCAGCTCAGTTTGACAGCTAAGCACGCTCTGTTCTCCAGTGGCTCGATTGTCGTCATTGGACCACGTGACCACGTGGCTCATTAACTCCCAGGCCGAGCAAATAGGACGTTTTTTAAAGCTAAAAATTTACAAAATGAGCTTTTAATTTGTGTATTTGGATTTAGATATCGTTAGTTGGGCATGTTTTCTGAAGAATATGTTCCGTTCAGGCCATTCTGACGGCATGAAGCAAACCCTTTAAAATGTCTTCTGCTAATTTGTATACTGCTGTCGTTCTCTTTTTTCATTACAAAATGAGCTATATTCCGAAAGTTCCCAATATTCCACAATATTGTTCTTTTATTCTTTATACTTAACATAAGTTAGCCTGGATTTGGAGATCCAGTTGATGACTGTCCAGAAATCAACCTTTGTAAATTGAGACACACCTTGTTCAACATGCGCATAATGGTATGGGCTGTTCCTGTGTCTGCTTTTAAGTTAATTGTCTAGACAGAGGTTGCAGTGCCCTGGGGAAAGCCATCATCTAATACACAACAAAACACTTAATTTTAGCATTGTGCTTTTAGACTGTCTATGGTCTTTATATTAAGCACTTATAGGGAGGCTGGCTACAAAAGTCATTAAATTAAATTTTTTTCTTTTCTGTGCTGCAAATTTTAGTTTGATTTGCAAGTTTTTGATAACAAGTGTACGGGATGTGATTTGCTAGTATACAATTATTCAACACCTTAAGGGTTAAATGACACCACTGAAGTTCCTCTGAGTCATCTAAATTGTTGAAGTATTTGCAGAGATATTGATCATTGTATGCATGTGAAAAAAAAGACAAACAGTTGATATGTCTGTTTAGTCTGAAAATTTTCAAGTGAGTGATGTTTAATTTCCTTTTTGCAGGGAGAACAGCAAATTTACATGACAGTCTTTGCCAATTTCCCTTTACCAGTTGAAGTAGTAGGTCTTGATCTTTCTGATCAGTTTTATAGGAATTCAATCAAATCTGGGGCCCTTGGGGTAAGTCATGAGATACTGAGTATTTTGTCTTGATAGAAGCCACATTGTCACATCACAAGTTTTTTATGTACATACACTGTATATGTTCTGTTTACTTGTTTTGTTCGTTTCCTTCAGTATCGCTACTACCGTCTGAGACATTATAAAGTTAACTGATAACATGATAGCTGGCAAACCATATTCTTGTTTTACTATTAATACACAAGAATTCTATGAATTTATTTGTTTAATGTCAGTATGTGTGTCATCTTTAGTGTCTAGTTTCTGCTAAATGCCAGCTTCTTAGTCAACTTTAAGTAAGAAGCTGAAATAATAAGAGTATCAATTATGTGGTTGATTTGCCTGGAGAGTTTTGAAATTGTTTCATTTCTGAATTTATATACCATGTGAATTATAATTTAGTTATATACTAATATCATATAACAATTGCTTTATTAAGCACTGTCAGTTCTTGCATGTTTTAGATACTGATGTTTATATTATAGATAGACAAGCATGTAGATATTATATGCAATTAGTAAAAAGGATATTTATATATTTATGTGGAACTAATTTTTCACATCTTCCAGCTTCCATTCGGAGACAAAGACCACCTGAATAAAATCCCATCTCTTGTTGGAAAAGAAATAGATTTGACAGGAGTAGCATTCAATGAAAGTGTAGCAGATATATGCCTGTCTAGTCTCGGTAAGTTAAGAATATTTAGCATTTGATAGATATACAGTGCACACTGATATTTTGTATTATCTAGATAAGTATTGCTGAGTGTATTGCAGAGTTATTATCTGTTCATATGGTATAAGAAAGCATGATGGTCATGTTATCTCAGCATCGGCTTGATTTTATGGCCAGAGAGTTTGCTTTGAAACCTTAACTTTGCTTCTTACAAGCTTTTTGGTGATATAAAATACTTAACTGAATGGGGGCGTCTCGATGGTCCGAAGGTTCATTGGTCCGAAAAACGGTAACATTTTCATCGGTTTTTTAATCAAGGGCTCATTGGTCCGAAGGTTCTGTAGTGAACATTCGGACCAATGAACATTCGGACTATTGAACCTTCGGACTATTGCTACGGCCCCAACTGAATGACCTTTCAAAGTGAATTGCAAGTCTTTCAAAGTTGCCACTCTATGTCAAAAGGTTTGTTATGTTTTTTCTGTGCTTTTTATCTTTACACAAATTGGTTGCTCTGAAAAAATTGATATCTAAAGCAAAATTAATATGATTTTGTTATTAATCCAGTGGGTAAACATTTTCATCATATGAAAGAAACATACTGATAACTTGTTTGGTGATGTAGTATGTTAATGAAAACAAATTATGCACTAATGAGAACAAATCCTAGATGGTAACTTTGCACCAATTGTCGAAACTGGCCAAAATTAAAGGCACATGAAAATAGGATGGCTCACAGTAGTGTGGGCACATGATATGAAAAAGATCTTCCAGTTCAACTATTGCTATGTTTTTTAAATGTATGTTTAAATAAAATATTTTCATAAAACGGGTTTCATACTTTTATTTTATTTTTGTAGACTAGCTTGGGAATGGTCAGTATCTAAAGCTATGATTTATTCAGAAGTACAACTATAAAAGTGTTTCTAGAATGGCATGCCTTCAGTAACGTGCAATTATAAAACTTTAATTTTACACCTATTTAAATTTGTTTATTTACATTTTTAAACTCAAAAAGCCTGAAAGTTGGATCAACTTTTAAAAATGACATGATTTGATTATTCCTTCTATTTTTACATTATTTTAAAAAATCATTGTTTACAATTTTAATAATAATAATAAGGTTTTATTGTATTTAAGCAAAGTTCATCTGTAAGAAGCCACAGCATTCAATTTCTTAGGTTCAGTGAAGTTTGATTGCTTTTGGAAAGAGATCATTAAGATTTAATGCTTTGGCTTGAAACAAGCAACATGCTTAATCTTGATGTAATAAGTGATATTTTTTTCTGACAAGAATTTGTGTTTGAACTTTGAACTGAAACATAATTTAAATGCTCATTAACCTTTAGTATTAAAAAGACACCTTTGTTAAAAGTGATGCTGGTATTTTTTAATAGAAAATCAATTTGTCAACAGTTTTTTTTTATAAGATTACCTAAGAGCTAATGTCACCATCCACTTTGTTAGTTATCTACCTACACGTAAAAACAGAAAAACATTTTTTCACGTTATTTAAACCTATATGACTTATGAAACTAAACTAGAAAATACTAACAAATCATGTGGGCAAGCCCATGTAATAAGATACATAAAAGTAAAGCATCCGGTACACTATTTTGTATATGTACCTTGATTCATTTTATAGTAGAGAGCTCCCTTGAGGAAGCTTTGCCTAATGGCCTTAGTTTTATAATATTAAGTGTCTTCATCATCAAGATGAGATAAAATGTCAGCCCTTTGGTTAAAACTTTAACAAAAAAAAACCTGGGCACATTTCCTGTATTCTACACCGGTATTCACTCAGAATACTTGATACCTACTCAGAATATTGATCCATTTTCACACTTTGATCCAAGGCACTTGTCATGCCTTTCATTGCTTAACCATGGTATTTGATATAGCTTTTGATGTTGACATAATTTTGGAGACTACTTTGGAATGGCTTGCTTTCTGATCTCTGTAATCAGAAGCTCATCACTTGTGTAGACGTACTTCTGATGCATTAGTGAACTCATTCTTGAAACGTGTTATACTGATTGGTTTGTTGAAACTATAATTTGTTTTTATGTACAGACACAATATGTCTATTCATAAAGCCACCACCTGTTGGTGTGCACTCTTTGCTGTTAATGCAATAATTAGTATGGACTTATTGTCCTCAAACTTACTAACATCAACGTGCAGTTTGTAACTCCCACATGCTACAGCTCTCACTTATACCTCTGTAATAGGCTTGTTAAGGACCAAAAATTGGCGAAAAACTGCATTTTTTAGTGCAAATGTCTAACTTGGCATGAATGTTCCTTGGGCCAAAATAATTTTTTTTTATCTGTAGAGACACTCTCTATCAGTGGATAAATTAGCATAAATTATGCAAATTAGTTACCAAACTATACAATATTCCATATTTCCATCAGTTTTTGGCCTAAAAACATTTATAGATTACCAAACCTGACTAAATTAAGGACAAGGAACCCATTTTTGATATTATGGAAGCAATTGGTGGCCATTTTGTGCCTCAAATTCAAGATGGCTGACATCCGCCATTTTGAAAGTGGAGATAATTTTGCTGTTTTATGTTGATTTTTGAAACATTTGACCTACATATATATATATATATATATATATATATATATATATATGTGATATATGTAGATTCCTACTATTTTGGGGGTGCAAAGGTCATTTTTGATATTGTTTTGGTGATAGAAGGTAATTTGAAGGGACAAAGAAGATGTTGTAAGTGACTACCAAGATATATATAGGTATGTGTATGAACGCTGCAAAACCATGGATATTGATGACCCGTATTGAATATATCTCTATACAATTTTTATGTACAGACACAGATGTGTCTGTACATATTGCCATCACCTGCGTCTGTCGTCGCCGATGCCGATGGCGATGCCGATGCCGATGCCGATGCCGTCGCCGTGCACTTTCCTTGTAAACACGATAAGTGGAAGGGAGTTTTACTTTTTGGCTTTATATTTACAGAGCTGATGAA